GGCCTGCAAGGATGATAGCACACTTGTTAATACAAAAAAATGATAAAAAGTGAGAACATTATTTGCAAAACTAATGTTATAGGCGTTTGTGTTACAGTGTTACTTACCAATGATGTAGGTAGCGGGGTCAAAGCACTGTTCAGGAGGAGGGCTGGCCTTGGTAGGCAGCAGCCAGGTGACCACGGCACTCTTCTCACAGTACTGGTCTGTCATGAAGCCGCGGATCTGTGCGTAGTACGTGCCGCCGTCGACGTCTGTCATGGACACGATGTCGCCCACCTGCATGTAGTTGCCTTTGTAGAAGATTGAGTCGCTCGTCACCACCGTCGGAGTAGCAGTGGGCGCCTTCAATGGTTGCCGTTTGAATATACTGCGTCGCCCGCGGCCGCGCGCTGCGGGGCCTTTCGACGACGGCGTCGGAGCCGGTGTCTTAGCTTTGTACCGTGTTGATCGTGTGCTCTTTCTAGTGCCTTTTCCAGTGGCTTTTGCAGGTGTAGTTTCTCCCTCACTTTTCCCGTTCTTGCTGTCTGCGTCATCTTTGTCGTCTTTCTTGTCATCCGCCTCAAGTTTGATGCCTATTTCTGGTTTCCCTTCCTTACTGGCTGTGTTAGAAAGATGGCACTCGTTACAAATCTGTCCGTTTTCGGCCGAGCGCCATAGCAAGGAGTCGTTGCTGCTGCATTGAACGCAGGTTGGTTTTGGCATCGTGTTATTGTATAATCTACTCAGTTAAAAATTATAGTTTATAGACATAGCGTATTAGAATAAGATATTAAATGAAGATGCAGAATACACAAACAAAATATTTACGACGCTCAACGGCACACTTGAATGACATTGACAAGTGACAACTGACTGACAGTGAAGTCAGAAGTGTTTGAACTATCTTTGTTTGACGCTCGGATACACGAGTGAAAATTTAGTTTTTTGTGTGTCGCTGATTACTTTAATTGATAATTAATACTATAATAAAAAAACTCATTACTTCATTAAAAGTGCAAAGCTAATGCTTTTTTTCTTTTCATATAAAATAATAAGTAAGTTACAGTAGCGCCCTCTTTTGTAGAGAAGCTGTAGTATGAGTGATTGAATTTTATATAATATCACTAGATGTCTCTATCGACTTCAAATTGAAATTTATTATAGTATATTTTTATTCATAAGTATACTAATATTATAAAGAGGTAATTTGTAAGCCTGTATGTAGGAGGTAATATGTGCAAGCGCTTTTCGGATTTTCAAAATTCTTTCACTGATAGATAGATACAATGTTCCTACGAGATAGCCTATAAAAGTAGCAGAAGGGTCCGTGATGCCCTACGGCCAATAGAAGCCGAGCGGCCTTAGCTAGTTTACATAAGTTAGGTAACTAAGTACAGGTTTTTATTTAGTGTGCTCTTTCAATTATTGAAAGCCACAGCATGCAGAGCAGTATGCGGTCAATAACGCAGTGCAGCATGCAGTCAATAATAATAACATACTGATTAGGTATTTTGAAAAATATTATTTTGAAAATTAGTTTTCTGTTTTGGAAAATAGTTTTTACTCACCTTTTTAAATGATCGTAATGGAAGATGAAATATAGTTCCTCGTAGGAATCGAACCCGCAACATTTATCACAGTGGGTTGTTCAGCCATTGCTAAAACGGTGTAGGTACTTATTCATATTGAGGGAGAGTATAAGGACAAGCGTATTGTTGAATGAATTAGAAACCTATATATCAACCTATGATCTCTATGTATATTATCTAGTCAGCAGTGTTCAGCAAGGGTGGTGCTTTATGGTCGCGTTATGAATCACTACAAGCGCCATAATTAGCAGGCAGTGCGGTGTGTCTGTGAGTTACGAGCGCTCGCCGCGCTATCTGACGGCGAGTAGCGGCACGTTCATACTGTTTGCGTAGCGTAGCGCCGTGCTGCCGCACCGGACGCTGAAGATTTATGTCCGCTACGAGACTTGCTGAGTTCGGCTGAAACTGTTATCGCAACCACACAATTCAGTAATTTACGTCATCACACGCACGCACAGTGCTCATCTGTAATTCCTGAGTTCTTTAGCGCTTACAAAGTAAGTAGTAAAGTAATAATATATTGCGTTACATTGACATTTATAGAAATTGTTGCGTTGCGTAGTCGTAGATTTCAGTTTCTCATGATTTTATTATATAGATACATAGATATCGTGGTGAAATGTCAGTACAATGGTAAGTCCCCGCTCTGCCGCGGTGAGGTCTCAATTATAAGTTGTCAACAAAGCAGTGACGTGCTGCCCTCACTAGATGCCGCACAACACAAGATAACTTTTAACGAGGGAACTTCTTAACTTGTGCTTCCAACTTACGTAGCTAGTTAGTGATGTTCAGGATTACGTATGTATACAAAAGAAAAAGTCCTTTGAACAGAAAATAAAAGACAAATGTAGATTTTTATATCTCTTAATACACAGACTGAGATATTAATGAATCTTTATTCCCATTCGTGTGTGGGAGAAAATGTGTCGGCACGACAGCGTGAAATAAACAAATACACAAAACCGGCGTGAAACAACTACAGCGTTGTGTTTGTCGTGTGAGTGAGGTTACTAACTTAATAATCTACCAAAGAATCTATCTAAAACTGATTTAAAAAGAGTAACCATGGAGTTTCTTGCTCGTTCTTCTCCATCGGAATCTACACTTTGGAACGAGCATATAGCTTCACTAGAGGACTGACCGACAGACAGACACCTTTTATCTTTAAGTTTTGTTTGACGTTCAAAAGTGCCTGTAAAGGTCTATTGAAATAAATGATTTTGACTTATACTTTACCGGGAGCCCGGGTGTCCGTCATGGGCGATGCCGATTGCTTACCATCAGGTTGTAAGTAGGTACGCCTAAAATGCTATTATCAAATGAAAAAATGACATTGCGTTTGTTCTCGAAAGACGCATTATCTTGAAAGGAAAGGTTGAGATAATAAGTAGGTCATAATCTTACTCATATTATAAATGGAAAAGTTACGATGTTTGCATGTTTGTTACTCAATCACCCCAAAACGGCTGGACGAATCTGGATGACATGAAATTTGGCATAGGTATACAACATACCAGCGAAAGCTAGTCAATTCTAAACACCGGGTACATCAGTGCATTCTTCCATTAGTAGCCACACCTCCGATCATAAAATGATAGTATGAGTACCATAGATTCGTGGGGGTCGGAAGGTTAGAGAAAACACCCCGTTTAAACAATCTGAGAATTGACTCGAGCAGCTCAACACTCAAATTGTATCTACTAGTGACCAACAGTGTGACATCATATTCTGATACAGGGAAGGTTTGAGCATTAATTACCATACTTTTCAGCAAGCTGATTGGCGATTTTAGAAGTTTTTAAGTCCAGGAGACTTGGATAGTTATGTTTTTTTTCACCATAATATCTAAGTGTTGTCTAAATAATCTTTGCATTGCATCATTGCATGATACAACGTCAGTAATGTGTACTTAATTAAACATTATACTTTAAGGAAGGGTACAGGGTGTTTGAGAAAAATAACAAGCCAGAGTTCGTGGTAGAGTTTTATTCGGCGCGAGGCAGTGGCGCCCCCTCGCGCCGCGGTCAGTGAATAAGTTAAGTATCCTCTCGGAGCCCACACCACACACACCGTGCTGTGGGTACAATACAACAATCCATAGAATTCAGCGCAACGAGTGCAAGCAATACTTTTACACAGTAATAGGAGCATTTAGGTACTTTCCTTATTAATATCCTAAGCACGATGTATGTACATAAGATTGGGGAACATTATTGTGTAATTCGACTCAAACCATAAACTATAGACTAACAATAAAATATTATTCCATGTTCTAAATTTAAATAGTGTGGTTCCATTTTTTTAAGATGGCGCATATTTAACTAGTTGTCATGGCGGACGTCTTTTGTTTTACTTCTTGGTTTGTTTTAGCGCCGATCTCACCTCTGGCGTCGTCCTAGCATCGGCTCTGAACTTCAGCGCGCAAGCAAACATGCGTGCGCACAGGTTTTTTGTATGAGATATCGGTACAGTGTTGTTAAGAAAATTCTATGAATTGTTGTAAGTGAATTTTGTACTTATTTCTAAAATAAAATTAATGTCACATTATTATTATACTTAATTAAAATTATTTACAACACATCATTAAAGCGACATCTGTTAGGTACTACGAGTAAGTATGTTCTATACAATCGGTTACAGTTTGTGGCGCTTACTCGTCGATACTTAGGCATTATACATAAATGCGCGTTTAATACTGAATATGTATTTTATAATTTCATAGAAAACTTGCCTCGGTATAAAGAAAAACAGTTTCAATATTTTGGGGTCGCATTCGGGCTAAATAATAAAGCTTAAAGCCGATTATGAAGCGAGGACGCCTGGTTTTTTTTATATTCAAGATTTTGACGTGGCTTCCCTGTTGAGACTGTTTAAGCTGGTATGCTAGGAGGGCATTATAAATAATTAAGAATCGACCAGTAACTACCATCTCCACAGTATGTGTGTCTACCACACAATGACATATATCCGACAAGAGCAGGAGGCGGCGTGACGCGGGCGCCAGGTATGTGAGAGAGTGTCGGTGGTTACAAGTTACAATAATGTTACGTGGAGAATGATTGGCAGCCGCGACCCGCGCCTTACTGCTAGCATACATTACATGGACTGTACAATACAGGTTTATATCATTCACACTGTCACACAGGACTTATAAGATAGTGGACGTAGTTATGCAAAAATGATCCAATCCACAGTTTGATCGAAAATGAGCTAAATATGCCAAATTTATCTTTAACATCTATGGCTGACTTTTATTTAAATCCCGCAAAAACGATCCAAGTTGTTTGGATCACTATAATTAAATTATACGAAATTGAAACTGGTCAACAACTTATAGCTTATAACGAATTTAATCCACTAAGAACAATTTCCAAATGCACAAAATCACAAAATAAAATAACAATGAGCAAAGATTATTTAAATTTTAAACGCAAATATCTCAAAATAAAGTGTCACTTTAAGGGTTGGTTTATTTTTGCACAACTACGTGGTATTAAAGGATATTTATTATGATGTTATCACAAGTGTTGAGAATGTGGCGTTCAGTTGCAGAGGTGTGTGTGCGTGGTGGCGACGCAGGTATCGCAGGAGACGCGGCAGCACCAGTGGAAGCGGCAGCGGCACTTGCTGGCCTGCACGCGCCGCACCGTGCTGTACCCGCGCCCGCAACACAGGGACTCGCACCCGTCCGGCCCTGCGCGCATTGCCACGTTACGAACCATTGACATTCTTATAGTACACACCTACAATAGCGAGCCATAAAAAATCGATTAACAGTGACATGGATAATATGGAGTAGAATTCCGCATCAAAGATTTTTGTTTTTGAGCATACTGCACTTGCCCCAGAACGTAGGCTGAACATCGACCCTGTTGAATCCTAATTTGGTGGTCTATTGGCTTTTTAAAATCAAAACTAATGACTACATACCTAGGTATCATTGTAACAGTAAGCAATAAATATTTCTCCCCTTCAATTAGAGCTTTTGATGATTCAAATAGACTGTTATTCAGTAAAATACAGCAGGAAGAAACCTTCGTTCTTTGAGGAGGTATATCATCTTATGATCCGCCTCGCTCTGGGCGGGGTGAGAGCCTCTTATAGACTTAAACCCACCCCATTCCTTCTCCTTCTTTAGCCCAAAGCCTCGGTATATTATTATGCTCTGTGATTCATTGCATTCTATATAGATGGGTGACGTGGTTTTACCTCTGGAGGTTCTGTTGCAGACCCGCAAGTGCGTCCCGAAGGAGCCGACGGCGTCGTCTCGCTCGCAGTACGAGGGCGACGGCTCCAGGAACACCAGGTCCGACTTGCGCGGCACCCGCACTACGCCCGGGTTCTGCTTCTGTCTGTAAAACACGGATATTCAGCATCATGTATTATCCTGGTTCATTTACCAATTCATTTATTAAACATCGGGGTTTAGGTTACAGTAATTGTAATTTATTTTATTAGTTTTTAGGCTTTGAACCTATAGAAAATGAAAAAAGTGTTGGTACTTCATAAGGTGGACTTCATGCCATAAGGTATTCCTTCTGCTAGCGAGTGGTCGGCCTTTTGGGGATTAGGGTTTCTCTCCCATACTTAAAACTAATTCCAAGTGTAGGAGACGCTTCGGCACGAATGGGTTTGCTCGACCGGAGTGATACCACGACCTCACAAAAAACCGACGTGACATAACCAGTGTTTTTTTTTCGCCGTGTGAGTGAGGTTACCGGATCCCCAATCCTTCCTCTCCTCCAATCCCAAAATCTCCCTAATCCTCAAAAGTTCGACAGCGCACTCGTAATTCCTCCGTTGTTCCTAGTGTCCATGGTCGACGCTGATTGCTTACCATCAGGTAATTCTTTCACATAAAAAAGCTGTATAATAAAGGTGCATGAGACCTCCGCACGAGCACGAGATGCGCGTGATGCGGCGGTTGTTGCGTGTCGCGGCGCAGCGCGTGCAGCGCGACGAGCTTGGCGCGGTCGTACCGGTCGCGCAGCGCGCCCGCCGCCGCGCGGAACTGCGGCAGCGCGCGCCAACACGTGCGCACCGCACACGACCCCGACACGCCGTGACACTTGCACTCGCGCCGGACCAGCTCCTTCACTATCTGTACAGAATTAAAGGAAGAAAAATGCATTTATTTGGAATTACATATGAAAGCCGGTAACAAGCATAAAGTTATAACTAATAAAAAAACAATGAAAAGGTTAAATAGACAAAAAACATAATAATAGTACCCATCCGAATGCATCGATTACACAGCAAAAGCTGGGCAAAATAATGAGCACCCAACAAAGATTGTCTCATTTATAAGTAAGTAAGCTTGTACTTATGTATCTACTTAAAAAAATTGTCAGTTCTAAGACACAGAGTTACAAATCCATTCACTACTAAGCATAGACGTTTACAATAGAACAACATAGATCTCGATCTACAGTTACTGCAAATCACTTCGAAGATTATCGTCCACCTATTGGGAAGGTCCCTACATCATGTTTGCTTTTACGCGATCTTTATTTAAAAACGCATTATAACCACCACCATCGGTTTTTCGACAAAAGTGACGAGCCAACTGCCACTAGAGCTCCTAAATACAATAAAGGCCTCTTCTAAAATTACTTAATAGAATAATTCGTTATGTCTTTACTATTTCAAAACATTCGTCAATAATAATTTGTTAGAATAATTTATTTGGCATTTTACTTAACATTTAGCGACGCGTCCCCACAACGAGAGCACAGGGCCGCACTCGCCGGTGCGCTGCGGTGACGCAACCACGTCACGCAACGAACTTTCTGATAATATCTCACTCTTGTTACTTCGGATAGTTTACGCAGACGACTGACGATATATTGTACAATATACGACGCGTCGGACATGATATGTGGAACAATACACGCGAGTATGATGGCAAGCTGCAAGCTTTCGTGTACATTTTGTTCGCGATACAAATATTTGTAAAGATAGAAATCAAAACCAACGAGCCAATAATCGATTATAATAAAGTAAGCAATCAAACTGCAAGAAGTGTATATTAATGACGGGCAGTAAACAAGAATAAAGTGGTCGAGGCAGGCGCCGTCGTAAAGATTCCCACACTCGTTTATGACGTGGCACGTTAAAGTACAACCGCGATAATAGTAAAGTTATTTGCACAAAATCAATAACCATAAACAGTGAACAAGCGAACATGCATTACTTTAATAACGGCTGCATTAGCGGAGGATGCGCATTATACAGATTGGCCGTGTCTCGTCCCACTGCGAGAATTACCAAAAGAGAAACAAAACACGGTAATGCCGGTATGATTGCACGGTGGCGTGTGATTCCGAGCGTCGTAATGAGTCGTCCAGTCGTCCAGCTCCGCGTTTATGCGATACAATTACTAGTCGTGTGGGAATGCTGCGCTCCGAGGTATTGTTGCGTATGTCATTATGTTCGACTGGTCCGCGGCCGACAGATGAGTGCAATCAGTGAAACAGATTCCAGCAACATACAGCAGGAGGTAATTGTACCCGGCTTGATACTCCACGCTGCCTGCCTCGGTGTCACTACGCATTCATTCAGCTTAATGACTGAATGCACGCAACGAGGAGCTTTCTTGAATTGTTCTAGTCTATAGAATTAATTCTTTCTCTGAAAACATCTGAATATGCATCCATTGATTTAATTCGATGTTATAAACAGTTTAGAAATAATAGCAATCAGTTTATTACTTTGCAATTTAAAGCGACGGTCCGTGGGCAAGGCTCTCATGTGGCTGCTGACGCCGCGGGTGATGCTGCACGGTGCACCCGGCCATTCCAGACAATGCGTAATATCGAGGTACTGCAGTTATCTACCGACCCGAGCAGTAATGACCGGTGTACACCAGCCGCCGGCGGCCGCACGAACCTGATCGATTTCTTCTTTTGCTGACCATTAGATGGCCAGATAAAGTGTCGGTTTGCGTGTAATGATGTGAGCTTTGAGCGGCGTGCTCGCTACCCGACAGTTACCTATTTTCCGCTGCATCGTACACGCACGTTATCTGGAACCGATCGTAATCGCTTCACTTGCAACATCAGCGAGATAAACAGCTGCCGCGTGGACCACGCTGCGGCTCATTATACACTGTGTTTCTTGAATACACATGTATGAACTGATTGCTTGTATCAGAAAGTTTCCCCAGCAAGTAAAAGTAGAATAATATCCGAGTTACATCCTCGTTGCGGTGAACATTCAAGTAACTGTCTCCCGACATTAGCGGGTACACGCAGTGGGCGGCGCCGGGTGATGGCTGAATTTTTCACGCGCGGGAGTGCCGCCATACTGTTTACTTACAGTGACGAGCACTTTCACATTCCGCCGCTGCAGCTGCAGCTAGTTAGTCAGGCGGTCATTAGTGCGGCCCTGGCCCGCCGCAATCACTGCCCACTTCATATTATTGCTGATTACGTAAAATACGTTATTTACCACTTAAACGGCTGCTGGCTAATGAATATGTCTACGGAATGATGCGGAAACTGTATGACGGAGTGTTATTATCTGTTTAATATTCCTACATTAACGTTTATTGGATTTGAGAGTCTTATTTTAAGCTTATTTATTTAGCAAGCGATGAAGCTAAGTTGTGTATCGTGGCGGCGGTGGCAGAGAAGCGTTGGGTAGTGCGAGTAATGTGTACCTGGCTCACCTTCCTGCCGACGCGGTTGTTGTGGAGGTTCATGAGGGCGCGCGCGTCCCTCTCCAGCTCGCGCGCGTCCAGGAAGCGCCGCGCCAGTCGCGCGCCGTACGCGCCCTCCCCGCACCCTCCCCACTCGAACTGCTCCGACGTCGATGTACCGCGCCGTCTGCTCACATCACAACATCATCACACGTTCACACAATCACAATGTCCACAATGTAGCAGTAAGGCAGTACCCACCGGTTGGAGGTGCACTGGCAGGCGGGCAGGTCTCCCCGCGCGCACGCTGCGCTCAGCGCATGCGTCACACCCGCCGACGTGATCGCGTATGTAAACGCTGCCTCTTTTGTCGCTGTAACAATATAAAGTTTTATTAGATCACTCAGTGATACACTATTTCGATTGAAGGTCAAATAAGAACCCATTTTACACCTCACAGAAAACCGGCGTGAAATAACCACAGCGTTGTGTTCCGCCGTGTGAGTGAGGTTACCGGAGGCCCAATCCTTCCCCTCCCCCAATCCCTAAATCTCCAAATCCCTAATCCCTAAAAGGTCGGCAACGCACTCGTAGCTCCTCCGTTGCGAGTGTCCATGGGCGGCGCTGATTGCTTACCATCAGGTAATCCGTCTGCTCGTTTATATATATTAAATAAAAAGAAAAAAAAATTTACACCCCCGATGAGGATGGATGAGTGAATTGGTGAGGAATGTCAAAAATTATTAACTAAAAATTACGTTCCACCTTCCGCTAAAAGCCGAACAGCGATGCCATTTGCATATGTAAGACGGGCGAATCAGGATCCTCAAGTTCTAAAATCTACAAGTATCAACACAACTATGTCTAAATATTTTTTTGCTAATCGTCAGTTGAAATGACCAAATGTAGAGTCCGGCCCTGTCCTGCCGTATAGACACAGTTTGCAAGTATGGCGTCTGTCTGTATCGAGTGATTGAGCAAATACCCGTCGAGTGTCGAGTGAGCCGCGGCCGCGACACGATACTAGTGGCGACTCAAATGTTAGCGCTGCATGTATTACTCACTCGCTGCATGTATGCCCACTGCGATACATACAATATAAAGGCAAGTATGTAGTGATTCTTGTCGCGGGTCTGAGGACGGTAAGTATGGGCAACTCGCAGAACCAGACCCGAAAGTACAGCGCTTAGCGTTCCGCTCAATCCTCAAAGAACCACCACCGGTCTACCGGTTTTTAGTCAGTAAGGGTTAAAATATATTCGTTTCGCTCGCCCAGGGTAGGAAAAGAGATAGGGATGATAAGAGGCTCATCAGTGACGACGCACTGGTGGACGCCCGACTTTAAAGTCTCACACAAGCGTAAAATGGCAAGATTTTTTACTATCGCATACATTTAGGATGATGTGCGTGATTCCCTCTAGACTTTTTCACCATCGTACCACCGAACAATCGGCAAAACATCGCTGCTTCATGGTGGATATCCCATCCACAGGCAGTAGGTAAGTAAGAGAATTCTTTGGTGAAGTCTGTGTTTGGTGAAGAAGAAACGTGTATGTAAATAACCTGGTTATCTTCAAGGCCAGAGTGAAAGCAGCCTATGCTTACAAATAGGTGTGTTCCATCGTACGTCATCGCTTACTAACAGTCAAAATAGTGCCCAAAAGCTGCCCAATTACGAAAAAGTGTTTGTCAGTACGTGGCAAGTTGGAAGCTGGAAGCGTCACTTTAGCAACGGTTAATTAAGCATTTAGTATTTCTACACATTAGACATTTATTCATGGCCCATGTATAGTAAAGCTTCGAGTTATAATTGGTTGTAAATAAAGCGAGTTATTCCAGTCCCTTCCACTTTTACAGGTTTATTGTAATTCGATGGACACTTCTGTGTAATTCCCATACGATGGTACTCCTTGCGTATATACCTACTCATTTATAATTATCATATTTATATAATTGTATTTATTTATATACGTATAGGTACCAGAGGTCAGCCATTACTGAAGTAGTGACGTTTGCTAAATAGAGTTTTCGACTGGATACTATATTCAAATTGGCAGTTCTTAGAAATATTTAATTTAGTACTAAGTTCCTAGGGAGCGACCTGCCATGCTTCGCACGGGTGCTGACACTCCAATGGAAGTTATTATACATATAAACATTCCTCTTCAAACATTCTATTTATTAAAAAAAACCGCATCACAATCCGTTGCGTAATTTCAGACGTTTAAGCATACATAAGAATATAGGGACAGAAAAAGCGACTTTATTATGCGTTCGCGTGCAATAGTGACTTCCTGCAGATTTTAGGTATAAAAACTATCCTATGTCCTTTCTCGAGTTCCAAACTATGTCTGTATCAAATTTCACAGAAATCGGTTCAGTAGTTCAGGCGTGAAGAAAAGACAGACACACAGACATACAGACAGACAGACAGAGTTACTTTCGATTTTATAATATTAGTAGAGACCACGTGACCACGTAATCAAAGCAAAAACCGACCATATTCGCATACAGTTTTTTTATGAAATATTATAATTGACTTGCATATAATATTGTTTTAACGCCAGTGTGCGTGTCTGTAGGCGGCACGTCATGATACGTCACGTCACGTCACGTCAGACGTCAGTCGCGGGTATCAGCGACGTCAGACGTCAGCCGTTAAGTTATGCTGAGCCGTGACACGCAGCAAATGCACTGATAGCCGCTGCATACTAAGCACCTCGCGCTGACAGCCTGCACTGCTCGAAATATTACAAGAACTCTGTTTTGTGAGAGGTTCGTCCTCTCAAAAAAAGATGTCTCTCGCTTTGTGTTTAGCGAGGGGGTGTGGCAGACTCTTACTGACGAAAACCTAACAGTTCCTCCCCTGCTCCGAATTTGACCGAGGCCTTATCCTTCCCCTCTGGCCCTCCCATCCCTTCCCCGCACCTATATCTCCGAAACCCTACTTCTTTGGTGTTATGGGTGGCTATGGGTAACTTACCTCTATAGTTTTCTAGACTGACGAACGGTATTCTAGGTTTACTTAGTTAGTGACGTTATCACGAGATAAATATAGGAAACTAAAAAAATATTAAGGTATACATGTAAAGACAGCGTGAACATAAAACTGTAAAACGTCAGCAACGCGGATATCCTGGTCAATATCCGGTGTCACGGTCACCTACTCACCGGGTATAACCGGGTTACGTGGGCGATGCTGATAATTTGGACAGTTTTGTTTAAACATTCTGAATCATCATACATACACCAGGCGTTCAAAGATGCGCTATGCGCTATAAGATGCACCAATTTAGCGTTTTTTTTGTTAGTTGTAGAGGATCTCAAACCCTAAATGACCTAAAAATAACTTTCATTAAATTACACTAGTAAAATGACGGTACTTCTCACTAAGAGGTCTCATTGGCGGTGGCACGGGCACTGGATCGCTCGATTCCCTATAATATGGTTGAGTTGGGCGATGCTGGTGTACGTGTCATGTTCGTGAACGGGCGCCGTCAGTTGGGACTGGTCAACTCTAAACTGACTAAATATATTTTCCTTGAGTTTATTTTCGTTTTCTAATTCTTTGGCTAAATATATGTGTGTGCAAATGTAACACTGATCTCACATAATTTAACTGTAAAACTGTTTGAAAAATTGTAACCATGGAGTTTCTTGCTCATTCTTCTTCATTGGAATCTACACTTTGACACGAGCAACTAAGTTTAAGCTTCCTAAGAGGACCGACCGACAGACGGACACTTTTTATCTTTAAGCTTTTTTTGACGTTGAAAAATACCTATAATGTTCTAGTTCAGATTAAATGATTTCACTTTGGTCAATCTGATTTTTTTATGGAATAAGTCGTCAAACTAGCATATATGTATTACCTGATGGTATCAGGTATCGGCGCAGCCCATGGACACCCGCAACACCAAAGGAGTTTCGAGTGCGTAGCCGGCCGTTTCGGAATAAGGGTTGCGGATATTTAAGGATTGGAAAGGAATACGAGTGGAATAGAATTTTCTAATGAGGCCGTGGTATCACTCCGGTCTAGCCGACTCATTCGTGCTGAAGCTTGGCTCTCCACACTTCTTATGATGGAATTTTTACTTTGAGCAAGTTTACTGTTGTTGCATCAGATTCAGTTTTATGCTGTATAGCTAGATAGACTTATACGAGTGTAGTGACTATAAAAGTGTTGTAGTGTCGTGGGAGACAGGTCCCGGCGCGACAGGTTGCAGGCTCTCACCTCGCACAATGTACATCGACAGACACAAATAGCGGCTCCGTCCAGCGCCCGCCTCGTCGTGAAATATCGGCCGACTAATGGCTGGATCTGGTTTATTATTCAATCGATTTCCGTTCTCTACACACAATACATTAGCGCGGTTTCATTCTGTATACGTTCGTTATCACTCATTAATATGGACTTGATGGTAATGTCTTTATTGTCGGAAACATATATTAAATTCTAGTGTGTGCGGCAGGTGTAGTACTTGGTAACACCACAGCCGGGCTTATCTCTGTCGCATGCGTCGTGACGTCACATGCGTGAGACTCTTTAAGACTGTGTAGTCCCGGTAGATAGTTGAGAGATGTTGATGTAATGTGATTCGGCGGTAAAAGAGCAGACGGATGGTAGATACGCATTCGGCGACGCCCATGGACACTCATATCACCAAAAAAGTTACGAGTTTTTTGGGATTAGGATTTCGGAGATATAGGGATGGGAGAGCCAGAGGGGATGGATAAGGCCTCAAGGATAACGAAACTCAATGGTGTGGTTATTTCACGTCGGTTTTCAGTCAGGCCGTATTATCACTCCTGTCGAGCCGACCCTTTCGTGCCACTGTATAATACATTATTGTTACATAATTTCTTAACAGGGACTTATGTATCAGAGAAGCCGCTAGCTTCATAAACGGTGTTATTCAACAGACGTTTTAAAGTAATAGAAACATGGATTTAATTTAAAAGTAGCTTATTATGTGAACTGGACACCGCACACAACACTTCAAGTGACTCCAACTAACAGATAGAAATAATAACAAACAATTAGCTGAGCATCCGTCCCTGCGAGTGAGCAGCAATCAAGTCAGTACTCAGTAGTCAGTAGCAGCCCATTATAGCACTAACAGTGGTCACTGAGCCGGGGG